ATTTGTTTTTTTTTTAATTTATGAAAGAAATTGATGGAGAGAGTTGGGTCCTCCTGATCTCCTTTTCTAGATCAAATATTAAAAGAAAAAATGGAGGTGGTCCAAACCCTCTATAAACCCAACTAAATGTACACACACACACATCTAGATCCACTCCTGCTTATATGACATCAAAGAATATGGTTATTAATTTCTGGAAAAAAAATAATTTAAGATCTGTGCTTGCTTATACTACATTATAGAATATAATTATGCAATTAATTACAAGTCAGAAACATAACACAATGCAAAAAACAATAAATTTACACTAACAATTAAGTAGCAAAAGAGTTGACAGTGGGGGTTGCAAGACATTTGTCTTCCCTGTAATCAGAAGTTTAAAATTAGTGACAGTGGCAGATATCCTTAGTAGTTTTACAATAACAAGGACAAGGTGATTAAGTTTAGTGTCAACAGGTATTGAATCCAAGACCCTCAAATCATGACACATTCTTCAATATGTATCTTTGTGCTTAATAACAAATAAATGTAACAGCAATATTTTGGTGATTTTGGTTGTTGAAGTAATCAAAAACAGTAGGTAATTGGAAACCCTAAGTTGGATTAGTTGATTATTTTTATGACATTTAATCAATTAATTGTAACTCAACTAATTGATTAGTTTATGAAATACTAGTCAATGTAATTGCTGCTCATATGTAATTGGTTAATATACTCAGCTCTAGTAAGAAATATATTCATTCTGAAAGAAATAATTATTATTTTACAGTCAGACAAAACTATTCAAATAAAGGCTTTTTTTTATTATCAGAATTTGTATTGAAGAATGTAACACATTTCATAAGTACTTGAACAATGAGTTTATTTAAACATTTTGCATGCATAGGCATGTTACAAAACAAGAAACCTGATTATCCTGAAAAATAAGGGGCTAACTTCCCATAGTGCTTATTTTTCGAGTGTGATTTATCTAATTTTTATTTTTATCCTGCATGATTTTCATATAATAAATGTCTTTCCCTAAGTGTATGTGTATTTGAGTGCCTGAGGCTCCTAACAAAAGTAGGTTATTTTGTATGTTTTGACAGTGCAAGGTAAACAACTCAGAAACAGAATATTTCTTTTTCAAATAGTATTATTACATGTACTTGTCTATTATTCAGAATTTTCCAACTCGTAGGTTAGCCTACAAAAAAAAATAGGAAAATTAAACACCCCAACAATAAGAGTATTAAATATTGTTTAATTAATTAAATTTTACCTTATATTCTAACAACTTCCCAGTTTCCAATTTAGATATATACTGTTAACAAATTTATTTAAACATCAACAACTACTTATGAAGTACAAAAGTTAAGGGAAATTCTAAGTCAAATAAATAAGCTCAAACCCCTTCGAACCAATATCATAATTTTGGTTAGTTTTTTAAGCATTAAACTTAATTGAAATATGGTAATGTATACTTTACAGTGATTTACAGCACCTTTTAAATTTTTACTAAGTCCCTTAGACAAGGTAGAAAATGTAAAGAGACAATTAAAAGAACTTGGCACATGTACTTGTATGTATATTTCAGGTTATGAACATAATATGAATCCCTGTCTGCTGGATTACTTCCCCTACACATGATCAGATCGTGATTAGGTTAATTTTCTTAGGAATCCTACTCGCCAACATCTTACATCAGAAATAGCCACATAGTTATTTCAGTAATAACCACAAACTGAATGTCCTAGAATTGCACATACAATTCATTAACAAAAAATACACAGAATACTTGTATTCAAAGAAAAGGTTAAATCCTCCTCACAATATATAATGCACATTATAACCACAGAAATAATGCATAGTCCACCAGAAAGAAATTCGAAATGGAATTTTCAACTTAGAGTACTTTACACAACATGACGTAAAGGACTGGATCAAAGACAATACGGGTTTGAAGGTAGTTATCTTTAATCATCAACTAATATTGGAGAAAGAATGTCCAGTTAGCAGCACTGCAAAGGCTTTTGTCTGGCTCTCTGAACCACAGAACAGAATTGACTTGTCACTTTTGTTAAGTGCCAACAACTGAAATTATGGAGCTTATGAGAGCATTAGAGCTTGAACCCTGTGCCAGTCAATCTGAAGCCCAGCACACTAACCAGTAAGAAAAAAAGTTTGAAATTACATCAAATTTATAAAGTTAATGGTATGGAAAAAAGAGCATTGGCACAAAGGTTATTCTTGAACTTGTTCTTAAGGCACTACAGTTTGAAGTACTTTTGCACAAGTGCTCAGTTTATCCCTAAACAGATGAGAATTTGGATTTTAAGAATTCATATGACTTGCTTTTGCACTGTCCTCTATTTTTATAACTTTATTTCAGGAAAGAAATTTTATAACATGTATAAAGAATAATTTGAAACCCTTATTTAATGTGGAAAATGTATTAATTTGGTTAACAAAACTATATTGAGGAAACAAGATAGTACTTTTTAGTAAAAATTATTGTTTTAATAAGGTCAGCTATATATTCAATGTTAGCAACAAGTTTGTAAAAGTAAATACAGATCCAACACTTAAAGGGAAACAAACTTGCAAAAATATTTGTTGCATTTGAATATAAAATTACAGCTGCAATGTGCAAATAAATTAGACTGGGGGGTTCTCATGCTGGAATAAATGTGGTGTGGCTGAACTTCCTAAGTTTGTTCCTGCAAGCTCAGTAATTTCAGATGTTGGCACTTATAGCCTTAAGTAATTTAATTTTTGGTGAATTTTTATTGGAAGTATATAAGCATCAAATTTATTGTTAAAAATAGCTTTGACTTTTGTAAGTCTCCAGAATTTGAAGATTTGCATATAGTCAGTTTTCATGTAGTATCTTTGTATTAACACTCGGTTGCAAGAGGTTATTGATTCATGTTAAGAACTAGGTTTTTCATCTTCAATTGTAGTGTATGATTTTCTGGGCATGCATTTTGTAGGTTGGTGTTGCTTGCAGCCAAGAAATCATATTTTGTGTTTATCAGAATTTATGATAAAGCTAATAGTAGTATGGAATCTACGTTTGTATCTGTTATGGCTAATTTAATTTTGAGTTTCCATTAAAATGGTTGAAATAATATCTTACTGAATTTAAGCCACTGTGCTACAGAAGATATGTAGATGATACACTTACCATTTTTCAGTCGATGAATTTTTGAGTTATATGAATAACAACCATTCCAATATAAAGTTTGCTGTCAGGAATTAAACTAGCCATTTTTAGATATCTTAGTACATAATCAACAAGGTAGTTTGAAAGTGTGTTTTAATTATAAACCAAATCATTGGGAATTTATGCCCATTTTAGCACCTTTTTTTTTTCCTAAAGCACTTTAAAGTGAATTTAATCAAAGTGCTTATTCCCAGTGCTAATAGTTAATCAGTAGTGCAAAGTGAAAAAGCCTACATTAAAAGTTTTTGAAGCATAGTGAATTTAATAGTGATTTCTTTGCTAATAATATATGTGAAATGCTACCTGCACTGACTACTGAAATGTTGAAGGTTGATGTACAACTAGTAATAGTATTATCATATATATAGAGCAACAGTCATGGTATATGAGATGTTTGGTTTTAACCTCAGACAGAGTTTATACACAGAGAGAAATTAAATATATACTTAAGTCTGTTGCAAGAATAAAGGTTTTTCTCTTATCTTCAGGATATTTGCGAGAACATATGATCTTCCAAACAAGTGTCCTAAAGGAATTTTAGGGGTCTTGATTAAGGGTATGGGGAAAAGTTTTTTTGTTTTTTTATTTGGAAGAATATTTACCCATTCACACTTGTCATCCATAAATTTGTATACTCTACTTATGCAGGGGAATATGAGAGTTCCCTCATCAACTGGTTGTTGAATTTGTATGAAAGAACGTATTCTGGGAAGCACTGGAGAATTTCTTAAACATTGCACAATATGTTTTTGTGAAGTGTAACACACTATCACTGGTGAAAATTTTGTGTTAATCAAGCTTAGGATAAGAAACTACTGAGACATTGTAAAAATTTGACAGTTGAAAAGCTGAAGCCAACTGTAACAAGATTACTTCCTTATAATTGAAGCATTAAGTGGTTCTGTGTATTAATACATTTAAATGGAAAGCTCTGTTTAGTCTTCTTCCAAATAGCTCAAAGTTGTTGGTTTGTTCTACAAACCATTATGTTCACAGAAGAAATATTACCATCAGATTCTTGTTCCATAGCAGACTATATTTTATGATTTGAGTTGTTTTTGTGGGTCAGAATTTAGCTCTAGTTTCCTATCAACTGAAACATAATAGCTTTTAATGGAAATATGTAAGTTACCAATTTACCACACACAAAAATTATAAAAAAGTTTCTTTTTGATGATAATAAAATTTTCTTTGCAAAAACTATGAGTTTGACATATTGAAAAATCAGAAAACAGATGTGGCCAGTGAGTGCTACAGTGTTACTTTTATGAAATTGTTATAATTTTGCCTTTTATTTCATGACATACTATTAACATAAGAGCTTGTTACAGGTTGTCCAAAATACAACTGGAAAAACCATATCACTGTTATAGATGTAATTTTGATTAATCAATTGTTTGAATAATTAATAATTGGAAACACTAATTTGATTTATTTATTTCATAACAGTCAGTATAATTGGAATAATCTAAAACAGTAATAATAGGAAACACTAACTTTGATTAATTTATGGGACACTAATTGATGTAATTAAATTGCCCACCTCTCTATTTGAAATATTCATTTCTAACATTTTCATCAGTACATTAAAGGTTTCATTTTATTTTTCTTGACATATTGCAATAACATCTAATATTCATCATAAAAAAACATAGTGAAGACAGAAGTTTTCTGCAAGTAAAACATGCCTAAAATTGTCAGGTAGCTATAATTTAGGTTTAAATAGTTAGTTTAAAAAAGTGAGTGTAATTTTATTATAATTTTAATATCTAATACCAAGACTGTTTGATTACAGAGAGGAAATCTTCCAGCCATTATCAAGATGCAGGATTTTCTGTAAATCAGAAAAATGAACTAGTTGAAAGCTGTATTCATCAGCACTCCGACAATATGAACAGCACATCATCTATTACTAACACACTAAGTGTCAGCAAGATGAATCATCACCATCTTAATTCAGAGCAGACATTTGAAACAACATATACTTCTGGTAAGAGTCCATTAATATATCCTGTGAGACCCACATGTATTATTTTTCCACCACTATGCTTAATTATTGCACAGTTTTAAGTCTGTTTATTATAACAAGCTTTCAGTTCCAGTATCAGTACTATCATATCTTAATGTTTTATTTAAATTGTTACAATAAGTGGTGACATGCCTAATGTGTGATTAAGAAGCTTCTAAAGCAGTATGTTTAACTATGTTCTTTGTATGTGTTCAACTTTAAAATACCGTGTAAAAGTTTACTTAGGTGTCTTCACCAATGAAGGAGATAGGTTATTGTGGACATAACTTGAATCCTATGGGTTTTAGAACTGGAATCTACAGGATAAAAAGAAAACCAAGACACTTTTGTTGGTTATTTTACCAATCAGGAGTCTACAAAATAACCTTCCAAACTGCAAGACTCAATTTTAATAGAAAATTGGTATAAATAGTGATTCTTTCATTTCAGATACTAGTATAAACAATAGAAATGCTTACTTCTAAGAGTAAATGTCTCAGATGTGGTAATGCCCTGACTGTTTCAGATGTGCATGTAGGTTGTGGTGGTATATTTGTCAAAATGAAATTGAAAAATTGAAGTGGAGTTTGACCCAGGTACACAGAAGGAATATCTGCAAAAATCAAAGGAAAAGGTGTTGCAGCTCTTCAGGCTCCATTTTTAATGTATTCTTCCACTCAAAGTTCCTGGAAATGTTATGTCATAATTAAAAAAGCATTATCAATGATAACATGTTTAAGTCCAACTGTGCAACCTTGATGGATGTGTGTGGAGCACTTGAACTTGAAAATGTGAATTTAAGTTACTTGCCTAGTAAAACTACATGATCCAACACAAGTTTTTATTCTTTGGAATAAAATTACCCCTATCAGCAGGAAAATGAAATATGCATCGTTTTATGTTCCAATGTTTCGTCCCTTCATCAAGGATTACAGCTGGATGGCTGCTGATGATGCTTGGAGAGCCATATTCTGAAAAGAGGAAATAACAGGCTCTGATTCCCAATCTAAGTCTCAAGGGCAAAGAATGGTGCAGGGTACCATTTACCACAGGACTTACTGATAGGTTATGTTCCATCTCTTATTCCTCTTCTCTACAAAGACCTGTTTCAAACTGTTTTTATATCATGAAAAAGGTGTCACTCAGTGATCAGACACCATATTTGAGGATCTGCATTTCAACAACCAAAGGACTGTGAAGAATCTATGGTGTGTTCATGAACAGCTTATTCTAAGTTATATAAAACCACTATTCAATGCAAACAAAACAGTAAAATCTGAATGACTGACCTTTGGGGTTGGTTTTAAAGTTAGAAAAACATGCATATTATGTTCAGTGGTACATTATATATATATTTTTAAAGTATACGTACATAAAGTTGGCTTTGGTAAAATATTCTTGTGTGGCCGTAAAATAGTCAAAATAAATGTTTATCTTATCAAAATATTCATCACATTAAGGTAACCAGTATGACTTTTTAAAATTTTCTGTAAATTTGCAGTAGGTAACTGCTAACTGCACCCAGTGTTTGTCTGTGGTTAATTAAGCTACTTGCCAAAAATAAAATACATACAAGCTGTTTTATCAGTCACATTAAGCCAAGCTGTTTTATTTAATTATCTTATCCATATGAATCTTGTATGGGAGACACTTATCTCGTGGTATTCTTTTTGAATCTGTAATCTACTCTCTTGTCCTTTGCTGTAATTGATAAAATATTGCCCCAAGCTGAGTGTAGTGTGTTATGTATATTGTGCTCAATACTTTTAATTTTTTTTTTAGAAGACCTTAGTAGAAAATTGAAGGTCATAGACTTTGAAAATGGGTCCAATTTTTAGCATTAATACATCTAAATTTAACTCTGGAATTTTATTTTTTTGTAAGTTTTTTTTATTTGGACTCGACACTGACCACCAATAAAAACCTAAATTTCTGATATCATTAGTATGAATAGTTTTTTAAGATGATAAAATAATTACTGATCATATCAAGAAATATTCAATAAAATCCTAAAAAGTTAACATCATCTGTTTTAAAATCATATTCTTTAAGTTTGTAGTATAATAGTACTGGAAAATAAATGCTTCAGTTTTTGCACTGTATGAAATAGCTGTGAATTGTGAGTTCCAAACAGACTTAAAATTGAAACACTATTTTTGAAAACTGTATTAAATATACTAGAAAATGAACCTCAGTTACAGCTTAATTTTTTAGTAACAAACTTTTTTTTACTGTTAGTTATGATAGAAATGTTAGTAAATTTGACAGTTTTGCTGTCTGTAATAAAATTTTAGGATTCAGTGATATGTGGTAGGGAATGGATTATAAATATTTTATGAATTTTTTCCTACACAGAAATTAATGACCAAAGAATTAGTCCTACAAGATAAGATATGAATATTCATGTTTTGTTACAGTGAAATACTGATGTATAGTAAAATAAGCTGAAAGTTACAACTTCTTCTTTATTTTAAAGACTTTCAGTCAGGAGAAGGTACCCCAGATTTGACAGAACTGAAGGCTATGCTACAAAGACAGTTAGAATACTACTTCTCAAGGTGAGTTGATTTTTCTAGCGGAATGATTAACTTTAAATTTACAATAGTACTGTCACAATGGATTGGTTCATTAGTTATAGAATTAATTACAGAAATTATAGCTATGGTATTAAATCACCTTTCATTTAAGTCCTCTGATGCAGTTCCAGTGGACTTTTATGCCTTTGGTTCTCTTGAACGTAGTTTTTTTAAACAGACTTTCATGATCAGTGGTGGTTGGGGATCTGTGAAAAATTTAAATAGTCTAATTTAGTATTAACTTCTGATTAAAGCAAGACTAAAATGAACCTGGTAACGAATATAGCTAATTAAATATACCTTTCTTACATTCTTACTTAAAATTATTAAAATGCATTGATGGAAGATTAACCTCATCTTCCTTTACAAAAGTATGTAATCATTGCCATCAGGATGAGTACAATTAATAATGGAGGCAGTAGTTCAAAGGGAAACACAGGACCTGGCACATCATTCTTATAATGTGGTTAATCCTTACTCTACCTGCTCTGCATGAAAATGTCATCTTTCTTCATAATGTTTACCATAAATATTCTTTGTCCTTAACTTCAGTGATACTTCAAAGAATGAAACTAAATATTAGATGAAGTTTATTTTGGTACATTCTATTTTTTAAGAAGGTGAAACTACTTCAGCAGTTGTCTTCCTCTAGAGACCACTTATTTAAGACAAGTTTAAGTTAAACTCGTTACATACAAGCTGTGATTATCTTGTCCTTAAAATCATTTGGATATAAACTCCAAATGTTTGATACTTTGATTAGTCTCTAGACGGGTTTGAAGGTGCTTTCAATTAATCAAGGCATACAGTGGATGAACCAATAATTTGTGCATTTTGCTCTATTTTCAAAGATTCCTGGAAAGTCTTTCCTGGTGTGTTTTAAAAGATATTTGGCTATTATACATTGTATAAGTAATTTTATGTTCCTAATATTACTATTTATATGCTATTAAGTTGTAAATACACTAGACTGACAGTTTTTCTTTGAACGAGAGTGAAAACTTTATTCTGAAAACAAAGTGATACATTAGTTTATACTTTTTTTTTATATATACAGAAGTTATTTATTTTGCCATGTTCTTATGAAATAATTTTTCTTTAGAATTTTTGTCAATTCATAAGAATGAACTTTAAAATATAGTGTGCATTTTTTTTATAATATCATAGAAAAGAAACTTGTTTTATATGTGAAATCGTTTTAATTATGAAAAACTCACTCTTTTTACTTTTCTTTAAAATATTTATTGGCTTGTAATGACTATTCTTCCAGGGAGAATTTGTCTCATGATACCTTCCTTGTTTCTCAAATGGATGGTGACCAGTATGTCCCAATTATTACAGTTGCCAACTTTAACCAAGTGAGACGTCTTACTAAGGATTTGAAACTTATTGTGGAAGTGCTGAGAGGTAACCTTAGTTTATGTTTTTTTGTAATGAATAGATTTACCTCTTTTGTACATTGACTGACCACTTTATTTGGTTTTTACCTAATTTTCTGGACTCAGGATGAGACACAAAGTGCTATTTGTGTAATTTACAAGAATGATGTTCCTTGAAAATACATCTTTCACAATGGATCATGCTCAGTCTCATAGCCATGATTGTGCACCATTGCCTATAAGCTTGTAGAGGATGATGATGATGTCAGCCGTAAACTTCATATCTTGACAATCTTTCCACCAACTCTACTGTATATGGAGTTAGCTTCAATGACCACTCTTAAGTAGATTAATTGCACAGAAGCCCATGGTTGTGCACTCAGATTAATTCATATGTTTGTTAACAGATAGGATAGTATAAACATTGATTTAATTTCTGAGTTTATAGAAATAGTAATGTAGATTTAAATGTGTGAGTAACTGCTAGTTATATCTTCTTGGCTCCCTTCACTGTACATTGCAGAAATTTCATTTTGAACAGTTGTTATCAGTATATTGCTCCTGAAAACCCTGTAGCAGCCTTTAAGCATGATGCAAAATATTTTTCTATATTTAGTACCAAATTGACTATTTTTTTGTCATTTAAGTACACGTAGGCCATGTCTAGTTTTGCAACAAACTTTCGTCTCTTATAGCAGAATATTTTTTTGTACAATTTGTCTTACTCTCACCATTGTGTTTGTAGAGAAACTTATGGACTCATGGTTTATGCTGCTTTACTGGACAACCAATCTGCACACCTTGACAGTGGCAGTAACGGTTCTGTATGTAGTGTGGTGGTTTTATAATTGTCCCTTGCCAAGTCTGTTCCCCATGTTAAAAATAATAGTCTTTGAAATTGCTTTTCTCCAAGTTTTACATCTCTGTGCTGATTTTCTTCTTATAAATCATTCTTATAATGTGCAATAAACCATCTGTAAACTTCATAAAAGGCTGAAAGATGTTGTTGCTTGATTGTAGAATATTAATATGTACGTTCACAGATGTAGGCGGAGTTACAGTGGTGAATTTGTCATTCCAACTTATCCTAAAGTTGATCAGTCTCAGTGAGATCCAGTTATTGTACTGACCCAAGAAAATAACTCATCATTTTTGTGCTGCTTGAACCAAGATGAACAAGATAAATGGTTGCATTATCATCATGGAAGAGCCCTTATTTATGAGGATGGAAATGGATAAACATAATTGCTAATATATTTCATATGCTCTGAATTTTGAAGGAATAAGTGAGTCCAGTGTTTGCCTCAAAGACAGTTCCCACATCATTACATCACTTCAAGCAGCTTGCATAGTTGGAACAACAAAAGCAGTGTCAAGTGTTTCATGTAGCTTACCCCATATTATTACTATACCATAAGTCAAGAAATGTGTAAGATGGGGTCTCTATTAAACCATACCAGATACTTCAAGTTATTGCTCTAAGCATCTCTTTTGTTATTGCACCCAAGATAAGGTTTTGCACTTGTTGGTAGCCTGTGACAGTTTTTGTAGTGTTCTTTACATAGTGCAGTTGAGACGATAATATCCTGACTGCTTTTGAAAGACTGTTTATTGGGAACAGTAACATCTGTTGCACTTTGTAGGTCTATCCAGTCATCTGTTTTTTTAATCAGTCACAAGTAGTTGATAGATACAATACTTCTTAGTAGCAAACATATTTCATTTCATTGTGAATAAATTGTGAAGATACACTACAGGAAAACTATAAGTATCAAACTAAAAATTGTTTACTGCACTTCTATCTTTTTAGTTTTTATTTGCTTTTTTGTTGAATTTCAGACTTAACACACTGTCATTCTTTTAAAACAAGTGTACAATTATAAAAAACCTCAGCTATTGAAATACACACGCACACACGTGTGTGCATGTGTGTTTAAATAGCTGAGATATATACGTACATGTATTACATTTGCCTATTTTAACAAGTTTACTTTTGATTTTCATATTAATAATGTATTTTGTTTGTTGATGTATTTTTCAATACTATATCATCTTGGAACCATTACAAAAACTACTATTTATTGTTTTCAACAAATCAAATTTTGAGACAAGTACTCTTTTTTACCTTACCAGTTTCAAAAAGATCTCTCATATTCACAGAATTGTAATTTTTTTGTGTTAGTTAACACTGTTACATTACCTGCTCCACATTCATTCAGATCAACTAAACCTGCTAAAAATAATTCACATAAAATGTAGCAAAAAGCAATAAATATTTTTTTTATTCAGAGATGTGTGCCACAGACTGACAGTTCTTTAAAAAGCCAGTAAAAAAAAAAAACAGATTTTGATAATGATGCTCCAACTGGACAGGTATCCACTACTATTATAACTTGAAACTTGGAAATATCCTTGTTTTTGCTCAAAATGTTGCTGACTAGCTATGATGTCATTGTCATAGTTAATTGTGTGTATAACCACATAAATTACTAGTTAGTTAGTATTTTTTTTGTTATTATTAGATACTAAATTGTATATATCCTATATTTGAACTTTTAATCTACTGCCATCTTCAGGTTGTTTTTTTTTAGAATGTATGTGATAGTCCTTCTCAATTCTCCTCCAAAGACAACAACAGATTAACAACAAAAACATGAGATATAAATTAATTATTAATTAGGCAGATGATTGTATAATCTACTAACAATGCCAGTGATTGGTATTCAGCCATCACAAAACTTTACTGTCAAAACTTAGGTATGATACAACTGTGAAATTACAAGAATTAATTTTTCATCTTAAACATCACACAATCAGTCTGTTTTGTATATTGAAATACATAGATTGTTCTGCAAGTATGTGTGTGAGGCGATCCGAAAAAAATTATTTAGTCTGTGTGTGTGTAACATGAAAGGTAAATTATATGGAAACAACATAGTTAATCTTTCTGTTGGTCCTTTTACTGAATTGAATACCATAACCTACCAATTAGGTTTATAGTTATTTTAACTTGTTTTCTTGTTACTATTCTAGTATTTTCGTAGCATTAAGTTTAAAAATCAAACAAAACTTTTACACTGTAACTAGAATCACCAAATGTAGAAGTTGATGAAGCTGGAGAGAAGGTTCGTCCAAACTGTAAGTGCTGTGTCTTGATTCTTCGAGAAATTCCAGAAACAACAGCTGTCAAGGTACAAATGAAGTCTTAAAAAGTATCATTTTGTATATTTATTAATTGCTATAAATGTATATGACCAGATGAGAAATTAAATTTAGTGAAACATAACCCAAATTAATCATGTTTAAACGTGTTACGTACATGCAACTCATCTGCATCATTTTTTTTTGTTTTAATTAATACAAGCTATAAACATTCACATTTACTACTTATCAACTCTCTCACAATGGGCTCGGTCCCAATGACTGACCTCGTAATCATTTTGGGCTTGTTATAGTTTTCATACTATAACTTTTAATACAGCATACGTATCTTTACAAAATTTTGCGGATTACACAGACCTGTGATTGTTTTATTGTCTTGAAACGAAATAATAAAAAATCCTAACGTGATAGAAAAAATTAATATTATTTTCAAAATCTGCATAGCTGAATTATGGAAAATATGTTATTAAAACAAAAACAAATTTTATGAAGCTTAGATCGAAGGCCTGTGTTATCAGTAAACATTACAAGGGTTTTGTACACAAAATATAATTTTTTTCATCAAGTCTTAATATTTTCTAAGTAATGATTTACTTGTTAATTATTTTCTTTTCAAATGTTAAACTATCCAACATGCAAAGTGTTTTTGATTTTAAGATTAAAAGTAATTTTATGCATCAGGTAATTATCAAACATTTTTTTTTTAGAAAAAACTACTTTATCTGTTATTTTCACTATTGTATCTCTATGGGTTTGGTCAGTTTGACTGACCTTGTAACCAACATAGAAAATTAGTAAATAGGTATAAACTTTTTTTTTTGTTCTAGAATGACTACAAATTATAAAAAGAAACCAGAAATGTTTAGTCTAAATAGGTTAAATTTCATAACATTATACAACTATATATATATATTTATTATTTTTATTTCATTGACCTTTCAGCTATGTCTAACTAACATTACAGAAGTTGCAATGATGTGATGCATGTGCACTCGTTACCATACCCAGTAGTATAAAAACTGGCCTTTACAAAATGACTTGTCTTCGGTTTGTTCTAGTGAACCAGTAATTTGTAAAATAGTCACATTTCGGTTATAATACATTACGTGTGTGTGTGTGTGTGTATTTTTCTTAAAACATACAACAGTAAATAAAGAATTATAGAAAACAATGATTTTTCTACTTACAAACTTTGTACTTATTTGCATGCTTATTGTAATTTGCTAAACCTTATCAAATTTCACACATGGAGGACGTAAACCGTATAATTTTTTTAGGTTTTATATATGCATTTTGAAATAACCAAATAATATAAATTACTCTATCAATATTGCAAACTTCCATTGTAATTTATCAGGCTTACTAACTAAACTGTATTTGGAGCAAAAAAGAAATATTGTTTTTCAGACAACATTTTCACTTACCCCTTCCTTCTGAGATTCGAGACAAAGAAATAATCTTGACAATTCCCACCTTCTAGAGGCTGAGAAAACCACATGGGGAATATTCTGAGCTTTAAATTGGTTATTCACACATCATAGACAGCATTATGTGTACATTAGCAAGTATTTCCAAAACTGAAAAGTGGGTAAGGCCAACTGTGTTTGATTCACTAAATGTAGTGATATCTCAACAAATAGAAAAAAATATGAGGTTTTTATTTTATATTCTAGCTTGTCAATATCAATAATTTGAGTTCTAATTCATAAAAAACTATAGACTTTGTACTTGTACATCACAAACATCTAATTTTAACCAAAACTGCATTCATCATACCATGTGATGCACAAAAATTGACATTTAGGAATTTTGTTTTAATATTTACTTTTAAATTAAAAAATTAACTAATGTATAATACTAAAATTTAAATTATAATCTATAGTGTGATACCAAACTTATTGGCATACACTTATAAAATAGTAGATCAATAAATTTTGAATGTAAGTATGCACTTCACAACTTTTTTTGAGTTATGTTCAAAATTTAAACTGCTTTGTTATTAACGTATGTCAATGAACTTGGTATCAAAATGTATTAAATAAATACAGTTTTTATATCATATAAGTCTTCTAAAGGAAATATTTAAATATATTCTCAATCTTCACTTATATCACATGCCACTTGTTCACTTTGAATCGCAGAATTTACATAATCTTTCTACCGTGTTTGAGTTTGTGAGTCTGAATGCAAGTTACAAACATATAATGCTAAGTCACAATATAACTTTATAGCCTCCATTCATCCTATTTTACTTAGATATAAATCAAAGTCCAGTGCATGTGCTATGCCTTCTTGTCATATATTGTCTTTCAAAAAATACCAATAATTCTCTCTGATGTTTGCTATTATACTTTCTATAACTAATAGAAAGATGAGATTTTAATTTATTGATGGTTGTATAATACTAGCTCATTCTCTCGACAGCTTTTGAATTATTTCATGTACAAATCTAAAGTTACTGTCACTAACTTCACTTCAACCAGCTAAGGGTTTCTTTTGTTTTGTTTTTCACATTCGTAGCTTAGTTAGAAACCACTTAAATTATGATAATTATTGGATGTTGATTGCTTTGTGCATGTTAGTATTTTGTGTTCTAAATTGATTATTTGAAATAAATAAAAATTAAGTATGAACAGCAACTAGAAAAAATTAGGGTTAACTTTCAAGACCTGTACATAAATACTAAATTTATAGTTTTTTATAATATATTTTTTATGTAAATAACTAAAATTAAAATCATATTATGCTGGATAACAAAACATAAATGAGAAAAATAACTAATTAAGATGTGCATTCGAGAAGCTCCTGCATAACATAATTCAATACTGCCACCTGAGTTATGCATTCACCAGGTAACTTCTAGGTTGTTATGTAGGTTTAGTAATTAGACATATTTCAACGAGCAATAAAATAATAAAATGAAATGAAAACTCTTACAAGCTTGAGACTGTTTAGGATAAATAATTGTGATTTTCCTTTACAATCTGCATTAGTTTTAGAAAGAAAAAAGGAAAACTTACATTTATTTCATATTTTTAGTGGTTAGTACATGGTCAAATGAATTGACCAATTTTGTTTGCAGTGTTAGAGTAGAGAAAATAACAAATAAAGTATTAAGTTTTAGAAAAAAAATGCTGTTGATACTTGAGAGGTTCTAGAAGTTATGCAAATGAAATTTGAAAATTGTAAAATGAAAAAAGTGAAAATCACTTTGTACTCAGAGTAGTTAAGTGTCTGAGTCAAACTCTGACTTTGTAAGTTCGCAAACAAATCTTTAGTAAAAATACTTAATTTAAAAATCTGATTTTTTTTGTATACAAAAGACTTGTAATGTTTACTAAAAGCTTGTTAAATTTTATGTTTCATGGTTGCAATGTTGACCAGAATGATCAAGCCTATATTGAGAGGGTTAAAGAAAACTAAGGTTATTTGTCACTAAATAACAATGTAAAATAGCATTACTCTTAATTACTTTACAGTTTGTTGGGGATAGGGTAGTTAAATATATTATAATTCCAAGGAGAATATTTCAAGTAAATTATCTTTGTTGTGTTATGTAATAATATGAAATAAAATATTTGCATGTTTAAGATGTTTTACACTTATTCTTCTTACATGTTATACTTAGTCTTGAAACCAGAAATCTGCTTTTCTCATGGAGAAGGATTTATAAATGAGTAATGTAAGAGTAAAAATAAGTGTAATTTATTTAAGTATAAATAGCATCACCACCTTGAATATGTGAAAACAGTAGGTCAACCTTCTGTTTGATGCTGCTTATTATTTTTGAACTGCTGATTCATAACAAAAACATGAATCATCTTTATTATAATACATATTCTGTGCCTTACAAGTGAACTATATAACTATTTTCAAGTGTGTGATCATTGTATTTCAGCAAACCATAGTTTAACTAAGCCAAATGAATAGCATCTGGTGAATATAAAGCACAAGTTCTTACACGTACGTAGTAACTTTTAGATTATACAAAACTATTCTGACATAAATAAAATATTGCATATGCTGTTTCTAGAGTAATTTCAAGAATAAGAAAAGTATATTCACTTGTCACTGACGAATGTTTATGGTATTATCATTGGCTATTTTAATAGTTGCAAATAGTGTGTACTACAGCACATACATTGTATATGAATTTCCACTTCATACTAGAACGAACATTGATAATTACAAATATTATTAAAGTTATGTGTTTGTCAGCATTTCTGTTTTAGTAAAACAAAATGTACTGTTTCTTTTTGGTTTTAATTTAATTTTTAGATTAGTTTTGACTTAACTTTATCTCTCAAAGTGGTTTCAATTCAATCTGGTTTTTAACCCTGTTTGGTTCTTAATTTTTTACTTTAAAATATTTTCCATTGTATCATGTTTGCATTCATTTTAAGGATATTGAAGCTTTATTCAGTGGAGAAGAGTGTCCAAAGTCTGCCAAGTGTGAGTTTGCCCACAATGACACCTGGTATGTGACTTTTGAATCTGATGAAGATGTGCAGAAGGCATATCGCTATCTCCGGGAGGAAGTTCGCACTTTTCAAGGGAAACCAATAATGGTAAGTTTTATAAGAATCATTTTGAGGCCCAGACTTGGCAAGTGCTTACTCACAATTGGTGAGTGACTTCTATGCAAGTGAACATCAGCATATCAAATTTCAAAATTTAAGTAAAAATAATAATTCTAACTATATTTGAACAATTTTTAACTCTTAAACATTTTAAAGTTGAATTTTGTCATTTTGTAACACTTAGTGTAATTCACAAGGAAAAATGTTATAATTTTCATTTTTAAGTGACTCTGAGGACCTGCAAATAATGTACTTACTGATTATTGTATACTTTTTCTGTTCATCCTAGAGATAGGTTTATAATTGCTAAGAAACTCATTCTGTAAGAATATAATGATTCATGTCTGGTTTCTTATGTCCTTTCTGTCTCTGTCAGTGGTTTTATTGCTACAGCTCTTTATTGCCATCATTTATGATTTCACAATATATATAATCTGAATAATTACTAATGAAGCTTGTCTGTAATCAGTGTTTAAATACAATTGGACAGATCACATTATGAACTAACTGCATCAATGTAGAGTAAATAAAGTGGTTTGAGCAGTAACCTGTGGTTTTTTTTTGACATTTTGACTGCCAGAAACTCCTTCAATCAAAATCTAATGAGAAGCTTAGAAGACTTCTGAACAGACCACAAATCTTAATATTTTTGTTAATTTCTTTAGGTGTTCTTTTTTTGTTCCTGAAAATGTTTTTCTGTTAATTTATATGTTTCACAGCTATGGAAATTTTCTGTGATGAGAGAAGAGGTAAGTTTACTTACAATTAGGAAATATGGTAAGTGACTTCAAAATATTCTGATCATCCATATTCTTATTTATTAAATTAATCACATTCAGACAATGCACACAAATCAAAAAATTTGCTATTCATTGAAAAGAAACTATATTTATTATATTCAAATAGGTCTCAGCCAAAAATATAGTTAGCAAGTGATACCTAGTCTGACGAGGGTAATGGATGATGCTATCTTGAATAGTGAAGTCATGGGTCACTGAAATGCTTTTGTCAATTTTATTTGTGATTATTTCAATTATCAGAATGAAGTATGAAAAGAAGTTTTAATATTAGTGAAGTTGAAACTGGATATGTAAAAAATAGAATGATGTGGTCAACAGTGTAAAAAAACTGATTCTAAGACGAAAGGAAGTATTTTTTATATTTTTAAACTGTTTCATAATGAAATTTTGGAAAAACAACATAAAAAAAATCATAACAATACTGTATAATGTATGATACTTTTTCATATGTTTGTACTAAGTTTCATGCAATTTGGTTAAGTATTTTCTTTCTGAGAATGAAGAAATGTGTTAAAAACTATGTTAAAATTAAACTGAACCAAGAATGATTTTCCATTCTTAATTGTTTCATTAATGTGACAAAGCATACTCTAAGTATTTATCTCATGGGATTTATTTAGTCATCTTTTATTGCTGAACTGTTAAGAATTTTATTTATTTATTTAAAGGCACGAATTAAAGTCAAACCTGTCACACGGGCACCCTTCATCCCACACTATAAAAATGGCTTGAGGTACCAGGGTCCAATGGTTTCTCCAGTCAATGGTCAGCAAGATCCCAGTCCTCCTGTTCAGCAGCAGCAATGGACAGAACAAGCCCAGCATGGTTTATCTTATGCTAATGAACCTTCAGTTTCATACAGCAACCAACAAGTTAGTTTTTATTTGCCTTATGGAAATTAACTGTCTTCATGATTTTGTTTTCTTGAAATTTTATATTTGAAAAGCTCAATAAAGTAACTTTGGGTACCGCTGAAAATAACCATAATGTCTTAGTTGGGAAAGATTATTCATAGTAGAGCTTGGAGATTTACTGGATTAATCAATATAATTGATTATCTATAAGCATTGATTACACCAGTTAGTGTCACATAAAGTAATTGGTTAATCTAGGTAAATAATAATATTAACAATTTTTACTGACACACCAGACAAAATTAAGCTTTAAACACAAAAGTTTAAAATAATTTCATTGAAATCACATTGTTAAAAAAGCTGCCATACATTTAAACACAGTTTAGTTCATCCTTAATTGCTACTGTTTTAATGTAGTTAATAAAGCATTACTATTTTAAATTATTCTTTTAATCCTCTTGCTATGGGTAGGTCAAAGTGCACGTCATGACATTTTAGAAAGTTACGTTCACAATTTAATTAAACTACTCTATTATCATGGTATACAAATAAACCTGGCATCAAAACATAGTTAGCAAACCATATTATGATATTATACAAGTTTTAAGTTAATTTTATAAGGAAGTAATTTAAAAAAATCTTCAACCTGCCTTAGTATGAGAACTATAACATTTGTTCTTTATGTCTTACCTCTTGTCTAATTTATTTTTCACTTCTCTGAGAAGTATGGAATTTGAAATTATAACATAGATATTACTAAGGCAATGCATAACTCTTATAGTCTTCAATGTTATTTGTTTACAAAGCATAAAATAGAAAAACAGAACCACTTGCCATGCCCACCCGTCACATCCTCTCTTTCACAAATCGCCAGTAGATCTCTGATGTTTTATACTTTATTATTTATAAATAATAGAAAGCCAGAGTTTTAATTTGTCAACTGGTGTATTATATTGCATTGTTTTTTGTACTGAGTATTGTCTATTTTGCCTCCAGTTTGAAAGTTTCTCTCATGGTATTAACATCAACAAGCTTAACTTAATTTTTTAAAGGCTCTTAACTCATAATTACAAAGCTAGAATACATCATGATTGTTATAGGACATTGTTTTGTGTTAGTATTCTGTGTTCTTAGGTGCATTATCAATTAAATGAAAATTTAGTATACTAGACAACTATTATAAAAAAAGTAGTGCTAACTTTCATCAACAGTCAACAGCGTAAAAAGAAGACTTGGGTAAGTACCAAATTTCTTGTTTTTCACATATTTATTTATTTATTATTATAAAAGTAACTAAAATGTAAGAATTAGAAACTTATTAGATAAGGTAAGATAATAACAATTCTTCACAAAGTATGCTTGCGAGCAGCTCGTGCATTACGTAATTCAATATGGTAACTTGAGATGCACGCTTGCCGAGTGATTTACAACTTGTGTGGCAGGATTATTAGTTAGGCATGGGTCAAAGGGTAGTAAAACAAAAAAACTTTAAGTATAAACAGATGTATTCTGTTACCAGCTTTAAGCTATTTAGTATAAACAATTGTAGTTTCTTGTTACAATTTGTAGTCATTCTAGAAAGAAAAAAGAGTATTTTAGATTTTTCAGATTTTTCTATGGTGGTTTTGAGGTTGGTCAGATTAACTAATATATATAGAGTTAGGTTAGAGAAAATAACAGATGACATATATAAAGTTTTACTGAAAAAGAGGGTTTTACAGATTACACAAATGAAATTCAACAATTTTCAGGTGAAGAAAAGTGTTTTTAATCATGACATGAAAATCACTTTGCACTTGGAGAAGTCAACACTATGATTTTATATATTCACAGAAAAATTTTTAGTAAAAATACTTAATTAAAAATATTTTATTTTTATGTACAAAAGATTTATAATTTTTACCAAAAGCTTGCCAAATTTTGTGAAGATTACACAAAACACATTAAAAGTTATAGTATGGAAACTGATAGTCACTTTGGGGTCACAAGGTCGGTGTAATCTACCAAGCTCATTGTAAGAAAATTATCTCATAAAAAAAAATCTCTACTGAATTCTATGCATACAACTGCATTAAACTTGACAAGTCATAACCTTGTACAGAGTTGCATTCAGAATTTAATTAAAAATTTTATTATAAATGTACTAGTTTATAACTCGTCAACAATGACAGATGTTAAGAAAACTGTAAAAAGTGCAATAAATTACCTGACAACAATTTTATTCACATTAAAAATCACATTTTTGTTTCATAATATTTCTTTATACACAGTATTGACAATGTTCATATGTTATTTCTAATGTTAGAAAGTGTCCTAAAAGATTGGAAAAATTCTCAGCATTTTAGTTATTGCTGAATAATACAACATTTTTAAATGTTTTTACATTCCTATTCTTCTATTCATGTTGTAACTTTTCATATGTTGTAACAAAGTATTTTCATGATGTTAGAAAAACACGTAGGTTAAAGAAGTCTTGATAGAAATGAATAAAAAACCCTATAACCCGAACGCTTTTGAAAGGTGGACCTTTCTTCTACAGGGACAAACTGGAAATGGTGGTATAATCGAATAAACACTTAAGTATAGTTTTAAATATACATATATTTATCCGTTTCTAAAGTAAAATATCCCTAACACCTTTTCCCATACACTCCCACCATTGGCTACACTGTACTGGAAATGAGATGCTCACAACAGTACATAGAGAAATAGACTAAACATTTCCTGGAAAACCAGATGATTTTCATGACGTCACTAAATTCCCTTTATATATATCACTCAATCAACTACACCACCATTTCCAGTTTGTCTCTGAAGAAAAAAGGTTCACCTTTTGAAAGTGCTCAGGTTATATGGTTTTTATTCATTTGTAACAAAGTATGTAAGTATTAAAGAAATTAATATTTCTTTAATTGCATAATTTAAATACTACGCGTTCAAACTTATACTCATAGAACTAAATATGATCTGACTCTAACATTAGTAATAGTAGGTCTATTTGTAGCCTATCTAAGCATTAGGCCTAATACATAAACGTAACGTAAGGCTTAGCTGAAACACTACTTCATTGAAATCCTTGGTAACTTTTATTTTGCTTTTGTCTACAACTCAATGTCAAAAAACTTAGATGTTCATTCAACAACTGAAAAAATATAAATAAAATGTTATTTAACCTATCACAGTGTGATAAGAGAGCCTAAAGTACTACTTGTTTTGTAATTAAGCCTAAAGTAAAGACAGTGTGTGCAGTAATTTACCCTAGGCCCAAGTGCATAAAACTTCTCATGAAAGAAAAATATCAGTTCTAAATCAAAATCATTTCTGAATTAAACTATTTTGCTGTTATATCACCAAAGTTATCAGAATAATAAAGAATAAAAAACAAACATTTCTAACAAATCAACATGTATATTAAGCATTGAACATAAACACCATAGTTGGCCTAACAATATCAGGTGATAGTTTTGTTGCAAAGAAACACTGTATATTGTTGAGCATGACCAAAAAAAAAGAAGCGTGACACGAAGACAAAAACTGCTTATTATATATATTAATATGTTAATAAATTTGGCTTAGAAACATACAATAGGACCTCGATTAATGGGCACCACATCATTAAGGGCAGACCTTATCAGTCTCTTTCTTTTTTATACTGTTTGTAACGAAAATAAATCTTGCAATAAAGTTCTGGATTAAGGGCAGTGTCTTTAGTTTTGTTTTCTATACGGACACGTGATAAAGCAAGCAGTTATCTTAGTATGCTTGTACGGTATACTGCTAAATTCCAAGCATCCCAGAAGTGTGACCAATATTAAAACACTTGCGATGTTTATTGGATTGGCTCCGAACCATATACTGTAATAAACATTTTCACAGATTCAAAGTGCAATCTTATTACTCTGAGGAATTTTCATTGTAAACACTGTAAACATCCCAGAAGTGTGACCAATATTAACACAATTGCAAAGTTTATTGGGTTGGCTCCAAACCATATACTATAATAAACGTTTTCACAGATTCAAAGTGCAATCTTATTACTCTGAGTAATTTTCATTGTAAACACTGTAGGATATGCAAGTTGATAAATTCCACATCGTGTTCTCAGAGCAGGGGCCAAGTCAGCTTATTTCTATGCGTGTGCTTTGTTGTTTTCAAGAGTATCTTATTACGGTGTCATGTAAACGGTCTAATAACACACGTGGTGATTTGTTGCTTTATTTTCAGCAGATTTCTACTTAAGTTGTTGACAGTAAAATAAACACAGAAAATAAATGTAAAATGTTTAGCAGTTCAAACTCTGAAGAGAAGTATTTTGAAACTTTGTGACCAATAATAAAGAAAAAGGGCACAGCTAACCCTCCATGTCATGGCAACATGCAACTCACGAACATTGCATTGCTCATTGCATGACACAGGTAAATGAAGATTGAGATTTTTTTTTAGCTATTTCCTTTTGAAATTAAGAAAATAAAATTTAGGTAACATAAAAATTGTTTTATAAACTACAGTAGAACCTCAACATTAAGGGCATCCTTCCAACTGCGTCCAAATGCCTTTAGTATAAAAAATGAGCAATGCAAAGCTGGATACCACACTGACCATACCTAAATTTTATTTTCTTAATTTTCAAGGGAAATAGTTTTAAAAAAAAATATCAATCTTCATTTTTCTGTGTCGTGACTAGTATGAGCTCTGAATTCTCCCCTTCATATTTTATGTCTTGAAAAATTCAGTTTCTACAGTGTTCAATCAATTAAAAACATAAGCTATACATAATTAAAAGCAATATTATAGAATTTGATTCTTCCATCTTCAAAAACATAAGCTATACATAATTAAAAGCAATATTATAGAATTTGATTCTTCCATCTTCATGATTTACTAAGATATTAAATTTGTCAAACCCACGAGAAAACCCCTTCATATCTTTCTTTCAAGATAATTATCAACTTTTTATGGCTGATAGGCATGGTTATAACTAATAGAAAGAGAATATTTTCTGCATAGATCTTGCTGCTACTTTTGTTTTTTAGTGGGACAGTCATAGTCAACAGAATTTATAGCTTTTGGATGAACCTTATCCAGTGCTGTGATAATTTAAGAACATTTTTTTTACCTATTCATAGTGTACTTAGAAAGATAAATAAGTTATAGTGGTTTTGGAAAATTGTATTCTAGTGACTGTTGTATTTTTTGTGATCTAAAATGCATAGTTGAAAGCTACAGAACTTTTTATTTAAACAACCATCTTAATGAAAAAAGAGGCCTGACATAGTTACACCTGAGATTATGGAGGTCATGTGCTCTGCTAGTGTTTTGCAAGATACAGCTAATAGGCTTCTGCTGTTTTTTATTGCTTTTCACAGAGGATAAACTGCTTCCCAGCACAAAGTCTGGTGATAAAACCATAAAATTAAAAGTTTATGTTTTCAACTTTTCACTGTAAGTTGTTGATTTCACTAGTTATTTCTGAGGTAGAGAAAGTAACAGATAAAATATAAGTTTTTATTGAAAAAAACCTTATGATATTGATCTAGAAGGCTCTAGAGATTATGCAAATGAAATATAAAAAAAACTAAGATGAAAAGAATTCTTATTCTTAGCATGAAGATTATCTTTCACTCATACTGACTCAGTAATGGATTTTTGAATTGACAAACAAATCAGATTTTTTTTGTATAACAGACTTGTAATCTTTACTAAAAGCTTGACAAATTTTATGAAATTGAGTTACTGATATGGCAATCTTTTTGCTTGCACTTATAGAGCTTCCACATTCACTCTACATTGTTATTTGTAAAAATCAAGAATGCTAATCAGAAAATGTTTGTTTTTATTCCTGTACTTGTTTGCTTGTTCAAGTACTTCTGTTTTGCAGTCTGCATCTTTATTTACTTTTTAAAATTTAGAAGGAAACAATGAAAGGGTCTTCAACTTAAAGAAACAAGGAGGATTGACATCAGTTCACTGAGTTTTGATATAGATTTTGTACACTGAGAGAAATGTACAGTATCTTATTTTCCAATGTTATTTTCCAGGTCTTCCCTCCATTCTACCCACCTACCATGCTTCAAGCTTGTGCTCCTGCAACTCCATCGGCTTTTGAATTTGGCACAGTAAGTAATAGCAAGTTTAAATTGAATCAATATGATCTGGTATTAAACATAATAAAGTGGTTTAATTCTAACTGTCCAACTAACTTCTTTACAATTAAAGTTGAAAGTTTTTGTTTTTTTTAGATATAATATTGCAACTTAAATACAGCACTCCCATTAATAATGCTTATTACCTCCTCAGTACCAGAATTGGTGAGGCATATATTTATCCTCAATTATTCAGGTGGAAGATGTTTAAATGCAACATTTCTTCGTATCATAATCCTCAAGCAAAAAAAAATTGAATTGTGCTCTATATCAGGATCTTGTTTGTTTTGTTTTATGTCCCTATTCTTGGGCAAAAAAGTTTAAAGCAAAATGGCCCTTGTACACTGTCGGACATTTTCTAGTTACTATACAAAAAAATAAGTAATGGAAGGTCTTCAAGGTAAAATGGCATAAAAATTGAAAATGTGCCCTATTTCAGGGTCTTTTTATCCCTCTTCTTGGACAAAAATCCTAAAACAAAGTAGCCCATGTACACTGTCAGTTTCCACACAAAAACTTATGGTAATTAAGACAACTAACTCTGGGTGATGGATGCTAACATTTGCATTACAGTAACATTTAATAAATATTCAGACTTGAGAATAAATAATAATAAAAATTAAAGATCAGAATATATAGCAAAACAAAATGTGCTGTATTGCATCTGTATATGTTACACCTTTTATGATACCATTAAAAGTCACTTTGCCATTTTTAATATTGTTGTAATCTATATTTTCAATTTCATACTTTAGTTGTTTGCTAGAGCAAACTGCTAATCATAATGGTAACACTAGATTTAGAAAGTTGATAAAAGTGGTCCAATATGTTGAATGTTCATGATGTAGTAATCTAGAAATATCTTGGAATCTGGAGAAACAAGCATGTTATAAGTACAAGTAATCAATCAGTTTGTGAAGTATTCAGTAAGTTGATTGTTAATACAAAATTAGTTCAGTGTCAGAAAAGTTATTCAGTGTTAATTATTGCATCTGTTCAGCTATTCAGTTAATCTCTGAGTTACATGTTTATGTATTAACTATAATTTAAATATATGTCTTACAGCTTTTATTGAAATTTTGTATTTGAAGCGAGGTCCAAAACTTTTATCAAAGTGAATACAGTATGTAGCAAACATTAAGGACTAAATAAATAAATAAATTCTCTATTGTTATGTGGACTGGACTTCGTATTATTTTCATAAAATAATTGAAAAAGGCCTACCCAGTGATAGAACATGCTACAACAATATTCTTTTATATTTTTGGTAAATTATCATTTAAATTACTTTCAGGTTTATTGTGTTGATCAAAGGAATTAAATTCATTTGTAATTTTTTGTAAGTAATTCTGTACAGTGCATTGGTTTAATATCATTATATAATTAATGACCACTTTGAATATCATTAAAATGGCTGTGACTGTGTAACCATTACTGTTACAAGTCTGTGGAACTGTTCCTATTTACATGATCCACTACACAAGGACAGCTTTTGAAACATATTTGTTTGAAAAAGAATGTATTTGTCAACTTTTAAGCTAAAAAAAATGGTGTAAAATAACATTGTTTTGGGTGGAATTTTGTTTTATTTTCCTTTCAGATTTTTGTGATGAATGGATTACCTCCTCAAGCAGTTTTTAAGTCACTAAATGGAACTGGCCGACATGGGCTTCATGTTTCATCAGCAAGGTTAGAAAATATAAATAAATGTTTACTATATTATAGGAAACGTTTGAAAACCACAGAAGAATATTTAACATTTAAGGTTGATAAAAATACTGTAAATAAACTGACTGTGTCTGGTTTTATCTTACTTGTTAATCTTGTGTATCAAATAACCAGCTGTCTTCAAAGAGAAAATTAACCATTAGTGTGCCTGTGGAAGCATAGTCATGCTCTGTGAAACTTTCCCAGGTAATGTGACACTGATTTTAAAATATTTATCATTGTGGAAGTATTGAAGATACTCCTACCTGTTATAAAAAGATGTACAGAGAGAGGGATTTTTGGAACTTTTAATGACTTAAGTAATGCGTAGATTAGTATTTCTCAAACTGGGGGTCTACAAGGGTACTCCATGGGGTTCTTGAGTCGGCTCCGAAATTTTGTAACAATATTTAAAAAAATTTGAATTATTAAATAAAACATTTTATTTTGGAATACAGCTTTTCAAGTACAAGGAATTTTTTTTTAAACTTTAGGTTTGGGGGTCCTCAGGTTACTAAAGTTTGAGGACAGCTGGTGTAGATAATTGTCTAATAATTACTTAAAAATGTAACTCAAAAGCTTGATTACTAGTGCAACAGTCTTCAGTGCTTGATTTTCAAAATGCCATAACCCATGTAGTCTAGCCAACATTTTACTGTCGCCAAGGTTTTCTTAAGATGCTTCGTACACTTTTAGTCAATTATTTTGTCTTCATTGTTTTAAGCAAATAAAAAGAACAAATTAAGATTGGTTTTCTTTTCATAGTACATTTAATTTGGCTTGCTCATTACATACAATTGATTCTAAAATTTTGTAAATAATCTCATGATGTTAAATTTGGTCAACCTCATTTTTTCTTAATGATATTACCAATTATTGCACCAAATCGTGCTCATAAATACTTTTTTCACAGTCAGTGCTGACCTTTCCAGGTGAAGGCATATCAGTGTTGTAGAAAAATATTAATCTCAGTTTTTTCATAGCTTATTTTTAAGCTTATTTAGGTATTTATGTCTAAATAATAGAAAACACCAGCATCTAGTTTCAAACCAGGTAGGACTCTCAGCTTCTTTTAATTTAAATGGTGTACTAGTTATCATTTGGTAATATTAGGAATTCATAAACTTTGATAACTGCTTCTTTGCTATTCAAGCTGTGCCTTCTTCTTCTAATTATTTTTGTATGAAGTATGTTATCAAAATATTTTATATATAAAAAGCTGAAGAGGAAATATAAGGCCTCTGTGTGAACTTTCTTATTCTAAGAACCATGATATTGCTTCATGTGTGTAGCTTGTGATACTTAGATTGTATGTACAAACAAATTGAAAAAAAAAGAACTGATGTGCATATTTCTTTGTCAGATAAGCATTGTTTAAGCACATACACTATTTTTTTATTTTTTTTTAGGACTCATAAACCTTATGTGTATCGGAATCAACAAAAACACAACTCTTTAGGCTTAGAACAAAAAGAAACCATGCCATTTGTGCCAAGCCCCCCACATGGGGCTGCACCCATTTTGAATCGTGGGATCAGTGGATTTGGCTATCTACCATATCCATATGCCAATCCATATAGCCTAGGAATGGACATGCAAGATTTCTTTCCCTATTCAAAGAGATACTCACATCAATACAAGCAAGGACAAGGGAACTCACATTCTTCGAGCCATGGTCCAAAGTCGGCTTTCACATCTTTGAGTGGAACCAAAGAATCCACAGATAATAAATTACCAAATCAAACAAAGTCTGCAAATGAATTCCAAGGAAGAGATTCATCAAAGCAGCAAAGGTTTAATTAATATCCTTCTGTTTTCTTCCAGTTATTCAATTATTATCTACCAATTTTTCATTTCAACTTGATTTTTCTTGCTTTTAGTTAATTTTTTAAAACAAAATCACACTGTGGTGTCTACAGAGTAAACATATTTCAAGTCTTATACAACATTTATTCTTAAAAGTGTGTTATCACGTTACTGGTTTAAGTTAATATTCTACCTGTTATAAAAATTAATATTACTGAAGCATTTTTCTCAGGAATTGGGGTCAGGGTTTCATGCCCCAGACTTTTAGTCAGATGGTTGCAAGTTTGAGGCTTGCTTTTGACATATTTGACCTTTAATTTTTCTTACAAAATTGAATAAAAAATGTCCAAATTAATGTTAGATGTTAAAGTATGTGTTATGTTTCCACATGATATTATTTTCACATATTTCATATTATTAGTATTCTGAAACAAAATTTTCTGGGTATTGAATTGTACGAAAGTCTTGATAAAAGAGTTAGTCACCCTTTGTTCTCCTGAAGAAGAATAATCAACTATTCGAAAACACTCAAGTTTTGGATCTTATTTTAAGAATTGTATGAAAGGATAGGGTTAGGTGGTTGAAACTGAAACTCATACTGAAGTAGTAAATATTGTTTTGAATTTAAAATATGTCCCTGTAGCAGAATAATGCACCCACATTGTTTAATACATTTCTAAACTATAAAAAGTTATTGGGCTTTAAAAGCATTGATTGGAAGTATTCTTTTCAAAGTTCAACTTGGTAGTGTCATTTTTCTTTTAATCGATTTTCTTTACAAAATGGGATACAGTTCCTATGTTTTGTATAATATGTGTGCAATTTTAGGACACTTGTGTAGTTGAATATAAGTGAAAAGATGCTAAAATAGTACAAGTGGACTTTATTTGCCTTACTTCTGACAAGAAAACAAATGCAGTGGTGTTGTTTTGGTAATAATTTCACACAGTTTTCCTATAAAATATTAATCATAAAATATAATTTATTAAGAATATTGAGGAATAGAAGTTTTTAATGTCCTGTTAAACTGTAAGATGAGTTAAATTGGGTATTCTTCTCAGCAAGTTCAGAATTTTTGGCATTTTTTTGTTTTTTTTTTCGTTTTTTATCTTGTCAAAATAAATCTTTAGTTGGTTATACTTATTGAAAGTTTCCATTTCCTTGATACAGTGTTTACTTTTTGACATTGTGTTTCATACACGCTTCGTTGTCTTTTATATGAGATTGACTTTTTTTAATATTTAAAGTATACTGAAATGCTGTTTTATTTAATAATCTTATTCAGAATCCATCCTAGGAAGAAAAAGAAAGATGATGGCAATACAAAAGTTGTAAGTTTTCATTCTGACATTAGATATGTGTTTAATTATTTTTTTTTTTCAAATTCAGACTAGCAGTTAGTGTACATTTAAAATTAGTATCCAAAATAAAATTGTAAATTTTAAAAGCCTAATTGACATTACAAGCCTAACCAATATATAAGCTGTTTCCACACTGTAGATTTTCCTTTTGAACATGGTTAAAAAGTTTTTATATGTTGAACTTAGAATTATTCCAATAAAACCTTAGATTATGCCAGGTGATATACATTTTTATTTTCCTATACAAAAAAGTAAGGTAAATAAATGAAATGTTATTTTTAATTGATCTTGTTTACAAGTTGATTTTTGGATAATATGAAATATTAATTAACGGATAATGGTACACTTCCATTTAGTTTCATTATACTAAAATAAATTTGTTTCCTAATTTGATGTTTGATAAATGTGTACTTAGTGCAGAACAGATGTTTACTGACAGTCTTACATATGTGTAATAAATAAAAACATATTTTCTTCAAATTCAATCTAGATTAAAAGTGTTTATTTAAGCACCATAAAATGATTTACTTTATCCTGTTTTTCACATCTAATGTATCAAAACTTCAAGAAATTGATTTGTCTCTCTCGCTCTAAAAAATCAGGAAATAGGAAATAGCATGAAAGATTCTGACAGTAAAGATACCAAGTTTGATCTGGAACCTGCTTCATTTCCCCCTCTCCCAGGCTCCCAAGTAAGATAACAGTTTATTGAATCTACAAAATTGAAACCATATCATAAATATGTAATGTAGCAGGAAATATTGTTGTGTAAAACTTCTAAGACTGAAGAAATGAAGTATTAAGAAGAATATTACAACTAGCCTGTAATTTATTCCATAGTGTTTATTCATCACTTTATCATTCTTGTAACTTTTAGTGGCAAATTGCTTTTTTTTTTATAACCATAATTGTAAGTCTACTGCATCAGTGCTTGTATCATTTGAAACTGGTAAACTTTCAGTAGTGTATCGAACAACAAAGTAAATATATTTTATATTTTAAAACCTTTAGGGTGTTGGTGCATCAGATTCTGACATGTTTGAGAATCGTCTCTCGGATGTTGTCAAAGGTACATCAAAACCTTCTGGAAATGATACTGTATCCCAGGTTGAGGGAACTTCTGATAATTTATTTTCAGCAGTAAATGACAATCACATTCTGGCAAATGGAGATCATATTAGCCAAGCCTTACTAACTCCACCAGACTCTCCTGTTATGTAAGTATTCCAATTTACTATTGACTTGAGTATTACAAATATTGGACTTTAAATATCAAGAATCAAAACAGTTCTGTTGGTGATCATTTTAACTTCATTGATTAGTTGTTTAGAAGTCTTGTATTGGTTATTAATCAGATTTTGGATTTTTCCATCTCGTCTTTTGCCAAAAATGAAAAACCTTGTGTACTGTAAAGTTATATATTGCTGTGGAAATAATTTTGATATCCTAAGTTATCTGTTATGTGAAATTATTCTATATTGTTAACAAAATATTTGTTATTAAATGATTTAAAAATAAAATTTGTGTTATGAAATATTGCAAAAAAAACACCAATGAAATGGAAAATAAGTTGGCTAATAACTGCTTGTTTTAGTTGTTTGTTTTTTTTAATGAATTTCAGCAACTTTTAGGTTTGAGTAATTGATTTCTGTGTTTTCAGGGATAAAAGGGTTCTTAAACATAATAACTCTGCTGAAGGTACATGTTCCTCTCATATTGAACCAGAACAGTTAACTTCAGAATCAGTTAGCGCTGGACCTGAAACGAAAACTAAACCTCAGCCTGTGACTGCTCACAATAGTGTTAGTACAAGCAGGATGGGTGATGTAATATCGACAACTGGGAGTGTTACAACCACAATAAACACTGGCCATGCTGTTGTACCAACCCATGTTGGAAGCCTTACTGGCTCATCTCCAACCACTTGTTCCTCTTTACCACTTTCTGCTGTTCTCACAACTACACAGTTATGTCCAGTTTCCAAAAATTCACAAACTGATAGTGGAAGCTTTCTGGTTAATGGAAACATTGAAACAATGAGCACGGTAAGTGTAAGCACATAGTTACTTGTATTACTCTTATAAAAAGTATTGAAGAAAAGAGAAATAGAATTGGCTAAACATAAAACCTGCTGTTTTGAAACTGAATTTTTTTTCTTATGCATATGACAAGACTTGCAATTAATTTTTCATATGCTTGGTACTGTTAAATATATTTTTTGAAAACAAATATTGCATAATCTTGCTATGCATCTGTATTCTGAATAATAGATGAAATTCTGAAAGGTTTGGAGTATACAGAGTTGGTTACAGTAAGGATTCACTAGTCTAGCTAGATAAAACTTTTGTGTTAGCTGTGATAAATTTCTTGTTTTGTGTTTTCATGTTATATTATCTTACTTTTGATGGCAGTAGTGTGAAGTCCCTATTAAGACTGTATTTAGTGTTTTAAAGATAAATTCTTGTGTCAAGAAGATTCAAGTAATATGAGCTAATGTTACTTTTAATACTCATCTACTGTTTTCTCGATTGCTACAGATCCTTTTGTCTGTGCAATTTCAACTGTTGTGAAATTGAAAATTGTTTTGAACACTAATTCTCTTTTTTAAAAAAAAAGGGTTTTTTTACTGGATTGAGCTCAAACCATTTTATTTCATTATTTGAATTACAGTATGATTCTTTTTCTAATAATAAAAGTTAGTGTTGTTTTACTTCTTCATTTGAAGTTTCCATAAACTATGTAAAAATGCATGTTTTACTGGATTCCAAGAGTGCAAATAGTTTGTGCAAAAGCTTTTAATCAAGTGATAGCATTTTGTTTGAACTGTCTCTTGAAACATTATGAAAAATGTTGGATCAGGCTTCAATTCTGTGGAAAAAACTGCTTAGGAATGTATTTAGTTGTATTACAATTAAAACTGCATTAATTCCACCTTATGTTAACAGTAATTATTAAGGTAATAATGATAGGTAATTATTATTATTGACTGTACTTTCAGAGGGCAAATACTGTCAAGGTTATTATTTTGAGGTTTGCAACTGTTAATGCAAGATTACTGTGCATTAATACAATATCCTTGAAACTAGATTTGCTCCGAAGATAAGGGACGAAAGCTCACTTACTCAGAAGTGGCACAACGAGCAAAAGAATCTGTGGAAAAACTAGCATCAGAGCTTAAAGAAAAAGAGCGACAAGAGGCAGTGGCTAGACAACAGCGTCATATGGAATGTCCTCCGAATAAGCACCATGCCACTGTCCAAAGTAAGTCATATAATTTTTTCTTATTATTAATATTTAAAGTCTAGCATCATGTGTTGTTATGCACATAAATTTATTTTGTGGAGCTTCATATCAGACAGATGGCCTGTTATAAAATTGTACTGATATTTGGTAGTTTCAGTTCCAAATATGAACTGAAGTGACCTACCTGACATAAAGCTCACAGCAATAAATAATAACAAATTTGTAGAAAAAAACTAAATTAGAAAGAGAGATTATTAATTTTTTTTCAGTACATACCTGTATGCTCAATAATTTTCAAATAATTACCTCAATAAACCAATCACTTATCAGATTTAGCGAAGAAAGTTGAACATCTATTCATTGTGGCTAAAGTCAGAAACTTCCTTGGTTCTATACACAAGATAATTCCAACAGATTTTAGCTTAAAACAGTTATACAAGAACTTTGTAATGTACAAAACTGATATTGTTACATTTTGGAGATATAATAAAGGAAAAATGTACTATCCATCTGGTATAGGTTCAACAAAGACGTGTTCATGTTAAAGAACTCTATATCTGCATTTTGTAGCACTTGTAGACACTTCTATACATTAATTTATTCAAGGAAGAAAACTGTTCTACTTGTGTTTAAGAAACCATTGGCTCTAACAATTTACATTTGCAATCTCACATTTTTTGCTATTAAAAAAAGGCATGAAGAATGTTTTTCATTTCCATAATGGTAAAGCATTGCCCACTCCAATAAAAGTAGTTCAAACCTTACAATTAACGAGTAGCTACTTTAAAATAAGATCTTGTGAATAAAGATTAATTTTTTATAGTAAGATTATAATTTTCAACAGTTGTCTTCACTTAAAAAGTCACTATTGTTTCTTTTTCTCTCCCATTATCTTTCTTAGTTTGGATGAAAGTAACTCAATTCATATTTTAAGGTTTTTTTTTGTTAGAAAGTTCAGATATGATTTATCTAGATACAAGTGCTCTGTCATATGAAATATAGATGTGTTGAAAAATACAAATTGCTATATTTAAAAAGTAATAATGTTTAATATATGTTTTGTAAAATCGTATTTCAGAGACACTCCCTAGAGACTATTCTAAACAGAAGGCTACTGAACAGCCATGCAACTTTAAAGATAACGAACGCAAAACTCGAAATGGATCAGGACCCTTGCATCGAACTTCTCCAAGATCACCTCGTGAGGAAAATAAAGAAGAACACACTTCCTCTGGTAGCAAAATAGGCAAGTAAAAAATATGAAATAGGACAGCTATTGAAGAATTCAAGATTAGTGGCTGTACATGTTTGTTGATACGAAACATGTGCTTAAAGTATGTTTCTCAGCCTTAGCAATGAATTATATATATATATGTGTGTGTGTGCGTGTGTACTTTCAGTACTGTTGAAAGAAACAACCTGCGATGTGATCAGCACTGAAACCAAAAACAAAAAAAAAAGTATTTATGCATCAAGATACTGTTTTATGAAATAATGTGTTTGCCAATCAAGCATACTTTCTGTTTATTGCCACATAAGGTTTACTTACTCTTTGTTGTTTGATTGAAGCTGGCTCGTATTTTTTATTTTTTGGAGTCAAATATTTTTTGTGTGTAAATAAAATTAAAATGTATTGAGTACAAGATCATTATGAAACTAAAAAATGGTGCTTAGTAACAAAGTGGTACTATAGCTGCTTTTTCCTTCTTGTCCATACAGTTACTGCGTCATTTTCTGTGTTGTTTTTTTTTTCCTGAATGTCACTTGTGCAATGTTTTTGTATGGGTGTGTTCGTTTCTTCATATTTCATGCAGATTGCTATCTAAATGGATTTTTTTTTCTTTGTCAAAATTCATAATGTCTGTGTTTTACCAGCAGTTTCTTTCTGATGTGTCTTATTACATAAGAGAAAGATGGGAGGAAATGATATGGAGATTGTTGATAACTCTTTATCTATAGTCCGATGCACTTAGGTTTTATAAACTAATTTCTAGAGGGCATTTAAATAGAACACTGTACTGCTTTCTGACCTGCTTATTTCACCCATGAGGCAAATAGAAAGAGGATGTTTTCATAACAGCCACTTGTTATAATTAAGGGTGAAATGTTTATTGTGATATCTCCCCTTAAAGCTTTTTATAATAACTGTTGAATCTATGTGGTGATTGGCTATTCTTTGAATTTGTTACCACAGTTTCAGTTTTAAAAGCTTATGTATCAGATCATAACCAATAGAATTCATCTTCACTGCTACCAAATGTTATAAACCTTATAAAAAGTTTTGACAACTCACAAAATCATTGCCATTGCTTCTATTATATAGCCATTTCTTATCTTTTAATATATTTTAGGTGAATTTGGTATAAGAAAAGCACAGGTTATACTGAATTTTATTTATTTTTGTGAAGTAACTTAGCTGTTCATTATTCCTCAAATGTGATTTTTTCTTGATAAAATCTTGGTCAGGCTGATGTAATTTGTTTTTCTTTTGTTAAGATACTTAGAGGGAGATGATGAACTTTTTTTTTTTATTGGACTTCAATGAATAACATTAGATTGGCATTACTGGTCATTTTATTCATGATGTCTTATGTGTAAAAAATTTGTGTGATTTGAATAAAGAAAATATTCAAATAATTGTAGAATATCATTATCTGTTTGGAACTATCAGCCAGCAACTGTATTAATATTAAAAGTTTGTTAATGAAACATTCATTCACTGTTTCCATTTATGAAAGGATGTTTTACAAAAATTTCTTTTAAAAGATTTTGAATTTTTATCATTTTCTTGTCACTGTATTTCTATAGCAGCATAGAAAAAAATATATGTTCTAAAACAGCTTTTATTTGCAAATGTGCACAATATACACACATGAAGGTGGTTTTTGTTTTTTCTGGGGACACTCAAAACTCCTGCCAGAAGTGATTTTATATCAGCTTGTTATGATGTTTGAGAGAATTTTAGTTTTCTTACTATTAAAATGTGCAGTGTAAAGGATGCATTGAACTAATTAAATGCTGACATGTACAAATAGTGGTCTGTACATGCAAGATTCCTTCTATATGGTTTGCATACCATCTACAGTCACAAATCAATATAGATAAGTAATCCCATCAAGGTTGTTGTATTTATCACTTGAGGTTTAAACATTAGTTAAGTAGGTTATAAATTTTCTTTTGTTCTATATGATTTTATGTGGCTTGAGGAAAAGCAGTTTTAGAAGACTAGACTTACATATGTACGTGTGGAAAAAATTGTCAATTTAAATTTTTAGGCTCAAGGTGAGAATAGATTGAGGGTTTATTTTAGAAATTGAGAATAAAATAAAAAGACTCCAAATGATATAATGTCAACTGCTGTACATTTCAGAGAATAGTGAAATGTAGTATTAGCATTAGTGAAGTAAATAATACATAATACTGACTTCAAGTTGGTTCTTGAGGTAGAGAAAATTGACAGCTGAATCCACAAACAAATGAAACTTGAAGTAGGGGGCATTTTAAGTTTGTTTCACACTGCTTTGTATTGAGTGATTAAAATATATATATATATATATATATATATATATATATATATATATAGAGAAGAAGTAGTAGAGTAGGGTAGTTAGTT